AACAATTTTTTTTTTTCCATTGAAAACTCAGAGGAGGTCCTCTCCAATCAGTGGACTTGGAAAGGGTCAGGGAGGAGATGAGGGAGAAAGGGTGGGATTGGGAGGGAATAAGGGAGCAGGATACAGCTAGGATACAGAGTTAATAAAATGTAACTAATAATAAAAAAATAAAATAAAATTTAAAAAGAAAAGAAAACTCAGATGCTTCTCTTCAAACACTCAGTGTATCTGATGAAACCCAACAGATGATGAAGAAGAATCTTTCACCTAAGTTAAAGAGTTGTTAGATGTGAATTTTATCTGCAGTTCCTCATGCAACTACACTGATATACAACAGAGTCTCCTAAGGTCGCTAAATAAAATATAATCAACACAACCACAATACAGGAAAATTCTCACAGAGGTTTGTTTAGACAACTATTTACACATTACTTCATATTTTCTTAAGTGTATGTTTTCTCAGTATACTTAAGTGGGTAGAAGCAAGAACCTGAAACTAGATAGCCTAGGCACACAGGGTAAAACCAAATATGGCTGGTCTTTAATAAATTTTAAAAAATGTGACAAAATTACTTCTAACGATATCCTGCTATAATCATGGATCAGTGTCTTGCTTAGCTATCATCAGAGTAGCTTCCTCCTACAGCAGATGGGAACAGAGACCCACATCCAGACATTATACAGAGAGCGCAATACCTGAGAACACTTAGACCTTAAAAGGATGTCTCCATTAAATCCCTTCCCTCGGAGATCAAGGAACCCATGGAATAGGAAGAAGAAAATGTGTAAGCACCAGAGCAAATGGAACACTCCAAACAAACAAACAAAAACCCTAGATTAGCTTGAGGAAAGCTGACATAAACTCACAGAGACTGAAGCAGCGTGATCAGGGCCTACACAGGCCTGCACCAGGTCCTCTGCATAGATCTTGTGGTTATCCGTTTAGTGCTTTTTACAGATTCCTGAGTGCAGGAATCCATACAGGGTATTTCAACCTCTCCAGGATATTCTACATATTCTGTGGCAGTTGAATGAGATATAATGCTGTTAGGTGTGCTTTTATTCGGTTACGATTTTGTTTCATTTTGTTTTTTGAGGTTGTTTTATTTTGTTTTCTTGTTGGATTGGATTTTTGTTTGTGTAGCAGGGGAAGAGGATCTGGAAGGCACTGGGAGAGTGAAAAAATATGATTAAATACGTTTAAATTAAAAATTGTTTTGAAGAATAATAATATAATTTTAGAAAGAAAGAAAATACTACCAACAAACACAAATGCTTCTAAACCTTCCAAATTATTAGATAAAACTGACGAAATCAGTTAAAGGGGAGGCACAACAATTTTAAGCTGAAATTTTCTCAACTTACAAAATAATTTTAGGTGATAAGTAACAAAAATATTTGCAAAATTTAAACACTAAAAATGAAGAAAAAGACAATATAAGTTATAATAAAAATTAACAAGTAAAATAGTATTATTAGGCAATCCATTGATAATTAATTGTTATGCTAAAGAAGGCAAACCCAAACTAGACCAAATCTAAACATGAAAATAGGACTTGGGCATAAAAATTTCACTCTTATCCATGAAAATGTAGGTAATTCTTAGCAAGAAGGAAAAACTGTTTTCTACAAGAAAACAGTAGCTCCTGCTAGGTTGATAATTTACCTACCAAAAAATCATACATCCAAGTATATGGACAATGGAAGTCAATTGTAATGTATTTTGTAAAAAAAAAAAAAAAAAAGAAGTGGTTGATGGGTAGTGATGTCTGGGAAGCATTTTGGCAAAGGAATAAATATGATAAAAGATGGTGCATGAAAATCTCAAAAAACAATTATTTTATTATATTATTTTTATTGAAATAAGTCATCAGAAAGGATAATACAACAAAAAAGTTCTAACCTTACTCCATTCTGTATCTATTTAAAATAAAAGAGACAAAGTATCAAGTATGTGAAATTGTTTAAACTAATAGATTACTGTAAATAATATTATCAAAATATGTATAATTTTTTCATTTTTTGTTTACCTTTCTGTGTCAATTTTTTTCATAGCTACAACAAAATGTATGAGATAACTGAATTATGAAGAGAAATGTTTTTATTGGTTTACAGTTCTGGAAGTTTCTGTATGGACTTGGTTAATCTACTGTACTTGAGCCTATAGCAATGTAGGGTCCATTGAAATGTAATTGAGAAAGCTCCTTACTTATACAAACTGTGGTGTTTTGAGTAGAAATGGCCCGTATAGACTCAGGTGTTTGTATGTTTGTCCCAATGGGAGTAGCATTTTTAGGAGGGGTGGCCTTGTTCACATGGATGTGACCTTGTTGGAGATGCAGCCTTGTTGGAGGAAGTGTGTCACTGTTGGGTCAGGCTTTGAGGTCTCATATACACTCAAGCTAGGCAGTTTGTCATTCATGTCTCCTGTCCGCAGATCAAGACGTAGAACTTCTGCTCCTTCTCAAGTACCATGTCTGCCTGCATGCCACCATGCTTCTCACGACAATAATGAACTAACCCTTTGAAACTGTAAGCCAGCACCCAATTAAAAGTTTTTCTTTATAAGGGTTGCTGTGGTCATGGTGTCTCTTCACACCAATAAAGCCCTAAGACAGCAATCAAAAAGGAAACAGGAAGATGAAGACTGGATGGATACCAGTACACACCTCTTGACCTAATTTTATTTCAGCAGACACCAACTGCTATAGCATCTGTCACTTCTCAGTAGTATAATATCGGACTTGAGACTTCCATGCATAAACCATTGAAGATTCTTATCTAAACCATAGAATTCTCAAGCAAAGACTTTCAGTGGTATTAAAAAAATAATGTCTAAAATAATTTAGAGATCAGCTCATATTTCTGTGGCCAAACACTTTTTAATAAGAAAAAAAAAAAAACAACACAATGCTTTCAGCATAAACTGTCAATTTTAGTCACATTGAAATTAGTTTTGATCCATCTTTGAGAAACTCTTACAACAATGACTAATTTGAATACTCAGATATCCAAAATTATAAGACAGTGTGTATATCTATATTCTTGTGGGAAAGAGCCTCTCACAGGCTTCCTTTTGCATCTCCATCATATAAGCCATTATGTACTGATTTTTCTACATCTGTCATTGGACAAGAGAATAGAGATACATTGAGATAATTTAGGAGAAGGAGAGCTTTTTAAGTGGCATTAAATTTTATTATATTTTTTTATAAATAATATCAATGAAATTTCAATTTGTAATTAGGTATCATGGCTACTCTAATATTTTTATGAGTGATGAAAAAATAAAAACAAAGTAAATAAAAACCAGAACAAAAAATTACAATGCATTTAGAAAAAAAAAAACTTTGGGGGATTCTTATTTTTTCTTACTGTATTTGTTACTGATTGCTACTTTTGCACTACACTATTTAAAACCAAAATTCACAACAATTAGATTATTTACAATTTCCATTACATGTTAATCTCAAACTATTTTCTCATGATAATTTAAAATCTTTCCCAAATAAATGAGAGGTTGCAATGTTACTATGTTCTGTTTTAAGCTTTGGATGATACGCAGAGTATCACTACATTGAAAAAGCTGATTTTCCCTCTGCCACTGCTACCTGTTGTGAATAGCTTTTTGGCTGGGGTGAGACTTTATGACCACCTTTCTTCCTCCATGCTGTGCTTTTGTTTTGACTTGATTTTGTGCAAGGTGTGTACATGATTAAGTTGGACATGATGAACAAATTATATCATAATACAAAAGTGTCAGGATATGTGCTTTTATTTCCTGAAACTCTTCTTAGACTTTTACTGTTTGATGTGCATTTAATATTTTCTAAATTATCTCAATTAGCCTTATATAAAACACAGTATTTGAATTATAACCTTCACTGTAGCTCTATTAAATTATTACAAGCTTTTATACAAGTTTATAAGAAACAGTTATTCAGACATTCACATAGGGATTTTTTTCCAGGAAAAATCATTTCTGACCTGAAAAATATAACTTTTAAAACCATTTATCATTTTAATTTAAATGCAAATGGAAGGTTATAATTCATTTAACTTAATTATTTCAAAACAAAGTTAACTATTACCAGAAATGAATGAAGCAAGCATCAAGATAATGTATACATTTTTAAACACATATTTTCTTGAAATAAAATTTGTCACTGTCTGTTTCTGAGTGACCAACCAAATTGTGCTAAGCTTATTAAATGGCATTACAGAATAAAACTTTTAAGAAGCCCCAAGCTTAGCTATATTTCCATAATTGTATCATTCAAGTTCAGTTTTTCACAGGTAAATATAAACCTTCTGGGTATGATATGAGTTGCTTCCTTTGCTAAGTAGTCAAATTTTAAAATGAGGGGCTCCACAAGGAGAACAACAAAACCAAAAAAAAAAAATCTTGGCTTAGGGGTCTTTTCTGAGACTGATACTCCAACTAAGGCCAAGCATGGAAATAACCTTGACCCTCTGCACGATGGTAACCCATGGCAGCTCAGTCTCCAAATGAGCTCCCTAATAAGGAGAGCAGGGGGCTGTCTCTGACATGAACTTAGTGGCCCCTAAGGAGAAAACAGCCTGACAAGGCCACAGGGGAGGACAATGCAGCCAGCCTTGATGAGACCTGATAGGCTAGTATCAGATAGAAGGGGAGAATTCTGTTCACCTCTGTACCCCATTTTTTAATTGGATTACTTGATTTGTTGCTGTTTAACTCCTTGGGTTGTTTATATATCCTGGATATTAGCCCTCATTTTAACATATTTGTAGCTCTACTAGTTTTGATTTTTCAGGACACGTCTTTATCATTATTTTCTATTTCTTATCATAACTATGAAAGTTCCTTGTTGAGTAATATTTCCCATGCCCGACTATGCTTCTAAATATTGTGGAAATAATAACAGCTTTCACTTAATTACTCAATCTCATTTTTATTCTTTAATGTATAAAGAAATACATTAAGAGTGGATGCCAAAGATAAAAAGGATGTATCGAACATGTTCATTCCAGAAGCATAAATAGTAAATGTGGAATTATACAGAGAAAATTAGCATGGACCATGCATCAGGATGGCACACAAATTCACATGGTGTTTTATAGTTCTGAAAAAAATATCATGTTCAGTGACGCGACATGTGGAGATAATCTGGTGTAGTTTGGATGGGGAAAGCATATAATCAGATATATAAAAAATTAAATAGAGACATTTTAAAAAGAATCAGTAAGCACAAACAACTCACGCTCAACTGACAACATCAGGGAAAGGATTGACCTTCCTTGTATACCTTGAAATTTAAGACCAGACACTTCATAACTGTTACTGAGATACATGTTAACATTGTATGAAATTGAAAATGATGTTTGAAATGATGAACCTGATTTCAGAAAAAAAAAATGGATGTTCTTCCTGTTTAAAAAATTGGGGGCAGAGCCAAGATGGCGACTAACATGCACAGTTTCTGAGCTGTGGAAGAGCTGAACACATAAGTTGGTGAATGGAAGGACTTCTGAAGCCAGGAAAACAACTGTGAGGCTTTCTAAACGACAGGGAACATCACATGAGGTGAGAACTTTGGTCTCAGGTCACCCAGGGACTTGTTTGGGGAAGGAGAGAAATTATCCTTTGATATCCTGGCACTCCCCTTTCTTGGACCTCCCTCCTCCACCGCACAGTGAACTCACCGAGATTCTCAGCTTAGACCTAATTGCTTGGGGTCTCCAGCAGCTGAGGCGGAGCTCCTAACCCCTTAGCGGCAACTGCCAGAAGTACCAGTCTTGGAGTCCCAGACCTGCAGCATAATCATCCCAAGGTCCCAGGTCTGCTAGCTGCCATACTGGCTCTACAGGGTCTCTCAGACACTTACTGAATCGCCCAATCCCTCAGTGACAGAGAATACGCTATATACCCACCAAAGCCAGGCAGAAACGCCATACAAGCTAGGCACACCAGGCGCTGGGCCTCCCAGATTTGGAGAGCAGAGTGGAGGGCCCCCAGGACATACCAGAAAGCATTTGAACCTGCTTCCCAGTCTCCAGCTGCAGCAGGACTTCCTAACCTTTCAGCAGTAGCAGCACTGAGCTGGCAGAGCACATCAGTCCTCCAACATAAAACCAACCAGGGCCAAACCAGAGACCAGAAAGCCCAGATAACCCGATCCCTGCCGATGTGACCTTCTTGAGATCTCCAGCTGCAGCAGGACTTCCTAACCTAGCGGATTCAACAGCACTGAGCTGGTGGAGCACATCAGTCCTCCTGCATAAGAACAGAGAGCCCAGATACCCTGATCCCTGCCGAAGTGACCTGCTTGAGAGTGAGTGCACCCTTGAGTATCTGCAGAGCCCCAAATCCAGGGTCCTTCTAAAACAGAAGCCAGGTATCAGTCCCCTCCCACTCACATACACACTGTGGGAAGCAGAGGGTCACTTGGGACATTGAAGCCCCTGCTCTGCAGGTCCAATTGAGGAGTTAAGGCAGGTAATGCCAGAAATTGCACTGCGACCATCACTAGAGCCTGCTACATATGCAGTGCAGAGCCCCTCCTACACACTCAAGGGTTCAACATTATCTATCACTCTGTCCCTCGACACACACTTACACACACACACACACACACACACACACACACACACATGTGCACACCTGCATTTGCCCCTTTTGTGCCCATGAACTTTTCTCCCACAGGTACAGCTAGTCAACCAATGTACATGTTGAGGCCACAGGACTTCTCTCAGCTTCCTGAAGAACTCTCCAGATGCCAGAGAGAGACAGTACCAGTCTGAACTGCAGAATCGAGAAACAAACAGGGAAGTTTTCAGATAAACCAATGGCCAGGGGTAGGCGAAAGAACACATCCAACATAAATCAAGACATCATGACTTCACCAGCAACCCCCAAAATTGATGGATACTCCAATTCATCAGGAGCAAAAGAAAATGACTTTAAAGCTATACTTACCCAATTATTTGAGGCTCATAAAGAGGAAACAAACAATTCCCTCAGAGCAATAGCCATACAAATTCAGACAGTTAAAGAGGAAATGAACAAATCCATCAAAGATTTGGCCAGTCAATTGGAGGTGAAGAAAGAGGGAATGGACAAAATTCTTAAAAAAACACAGGCAAATATAGCCAAACAAATAGAGGCACAAGTAGAGATACAATTAGTGGCATATAAAGAGGAAATGAACAAAAAAAAAAAAATAGAGACCATTGTAGAGAGACAGGAATCCACATGCAAACATATGAAGGAAATGGTGTAAGGCATGAAAACAGATTTAGAAACAATAAAGAAAACACAAACTGAGAAAACTCTGGAGATGGAGAACTTGGAGAAAAGATCAGGAACCACAAAGGTAAGCATCACCAACAGAATACAAGAGACAGAAGAGAGAATCTCTAGAGCTGAAGACACACTCACAGAAATTGATACTTCTCTCAAAGAAAAAGTAAAATCAGAAAAGTCCCAAACACAAAATATGCAAGAAATCAAGGATGCCATGAACAGATGAAATCTAAGAATAATAGGAATTGATGAAAAAGAAGACTCCAGCCTCCAAGGTCCAGAAAATATTTTCAAGAAAATCATAGAAGAAAACTTTCCCAACTTAAAGAAAAAGATGTCCATAAATATACAAAAGGCCTACAGAACACCAAATAGACTAGACCAGAAAAGAAACACATCATGTCACATCATAGTTAAAACACTTAATCTACAGAAAAAAGAAAAGATATTAAAAGCAGCCAGGGAAAAAGGCCAAATAACATATGAAGGTAGACCTATCAGAATCACACCAGACTTCTCAACAGAAAATATGAAAGCCAGAAGGGCCTGGGCAAGTGTCATGGAGACTCTAAGAGATCATATGTCAACCCAGAATACTATACCCTGCAAAGCTTTCAATAAACATAGATGGAGAAAACAAATTATTCCATGACAAAACTAAATTTATGCAATATTTACACGCAAACAAGCCCTACAGAAGATACTAGAAGGAAAACTCCAATCCAATGAAAACAACTTCACCCAAGAAAATATGACATACAGATAATATCCCAACAAAAATGAAAAGAAATCAAGCAATGAAACACAGTAAGACCACCGAATCCAATATAAATGGAACTAACTTTCATTGGTCACTGTTATATATCAACATCAATGGACTCAACTCTTCAATAAAAAGACACAGATTAACAGAATGGGTGCAGAAACAGGATCCAACATCCTGCTGCATCCAAGAAATGCAGCTCTGCAACAAAGATAAACACTACCTCAGAGTAAAGGGCTGGAAAAATGGCTTTCAAGCAAATGAACCCAGAAAACAAGCTGCAGTAGCTATCTTAATATCTAATAAAATAGACTTTCAACCAAAATTAATCAAAAAAGATGAGGAGAGACACTACATTATCATCAAAGGAAAAATCCAAGAGGACATCACAATTCTGAACATCTATGCCCCAAATACAAGAGCGCGTACATTCATAAAAGAAACATTAATAAAACTTAAATCACTCATCGATCCCAACACCTTAATAGTGGGAGACTTCAACACCCCACTTTCAGCAAGGGACAGATCATCTAGACAGAAGCCCAATAAGGAAATAAAGGCACTAACAGAGGTCCTAAATCAAATAGACCTAATAGATATCTACAGAACTTTCCACCCAAAATCAAAAGAGTATACCTTCTTTTCAGCACCTCATAGAACCTTCCCCAAAATAGACCATATAATTGGTCACAAAGCAAGCCTCAACAGGTACAAGAAGACTGAAATAATCCCCTGTATTCTATCTGACCACCATGGACTAAAGCTGGACTCAACAACAATGGAAATAGCAAAAAGCCTACACGCACATGGAAACTGAACAACTAGCTGCTCAATGATAGCTGGGTTAAGGAAGAAATAAAGAAAGAAATTAAAGACTTCCTAGAATTCAATGAAAATGAAGGCACAACATACCCTGATTTATGGGACACATTAAAAGCAGTGCTCAGGGGAAAATTTGTAGCACTAAGTGCCTACAAGAAGAAATTTGTGACATCACATACAAACAACTTAATGGGCCAACTGAAAACCCTAGAAAAAAAAGAAGCAGATACACCCAAGAGGAGCAGACGGCTGGAAATAATCAAACTAAAGGCTGAAATCAATCAACTAGAAACAAATAAAACTATGAAACCAAGAGTTGGTTCTTTGAGAAAATCAACAAGATAGACAAACCTTTGGCCAAATTAACTAAAAGACAGAGAAAAAATTCAAAAATCTAAAAGAAATGGACAATTTTCTCCATAGATTCATCTACCAAAATTAAGTCAAGATAAGGTAGAAAGACTGAATAGTCCTATATTCCCTAAGGAAATAGAAGCAGGCATCAACAGTCTCCCTTCCAAAAAAAGCCCGAGCCAGATGGATTCAGTGCAGATTCTACCAGACTTTCAAAGAAGTGCTAACTCCAATTCTCTCCAAAATATTCTACAAAATAGAAACAGAAGGAACATTATCAAATTCATTCTATGAAGCCACAGTCACCTTGATACCTAAACCACACAAAGAGCCAACAAAAAAGAGAACTTCAGACCTATCACTCTTATGAACATTGATGCAAAAATACTCAATGAAATACTTGCAAACCGAATCCAAGAATACATCAAAGATATCATCCACCATGACCAAGTAGGCTTCATCCCAGGCATGCAAGGGTGGTTCAACATACGGAAATCCATCAATGTAATCCACCACATAAACAAAATGAAGGAGAAAAACCACATGATCATCTCCTTAGATGCCGAAAAAGCATTTGACAAAGTCCAACACCCATTCATGTTTAAAGTCTTAGAGAGATCAGGGATACAAGACACATACCTAAAGATAGTAAAGGCAATATACAGCAAGCCTATAGCCAACATCAAACTCAATGGAGAGAAACTTAAATCAATCCCACTGAAATCAGAGACAAGACAAGGCTGCCCACTGTCTCCATATCTCTTCAACATAGTACTTGAAGTCCTAGCCAGAGCAATAAGACAACTAAAGGAGATCAAGGGGATACAAATCAGAAAGGAAGAGGTCAAAGTTCCACTATTCACAGATGATATGATAGTATACA